TAGAAATATATTTACAATAGGTATATTTCACATACATAATACAATAAATATATAAATATAGCTACCGTAGAAAATGTGAGTTTCAGAGAGCACAAGTTGCAAGTTGCTAGTAGCAAATCAACCAAAAACAACAAACAAAAAGATCGATAAAACCCACTAAAAGGAACTATTAGTTCACGTGAAGCATCAAAACGCTGGGAAGTTTGCAGTATGTGAACATGTTTAGGATCGCTCCTGCCTTTACATCAGATTTGATATACCACAAACCGTCGCAAAAAAAACACCGACTCATACCACAGAACAAATAATAGTACAAGAACTAATACTAATAATGATTTGGGAGCCTATTGAAATTAAATATTCTAATTCCAATAGAGAAAGTGTCTGGGTGAATTGCTTGAGATTCTATGATAACTTAAATCCAAACCCAAGCATACCACCACCAGACTTTAAGATGTAAGCTCGTTAATTCAATACGTAGATTCAAGTAAATATATAAGAAAAACACGGCTATGATAAACTACAAGATCGAAAGGGCGCTTATCATTTTGCCTTCATCACGGGTAATGAAGACAAATTGAAGTTACTTACTAGGTCAGCGAGAACGAGAATATAGCGATTTGTCGTTAAATGTAGATTATTCATAATTTTAGCTGAAGCGTCTACTAAATGTAAAAATAATGGTAGCAAAATATATTTCTTTATGGCTCAATTAGGGAGATGTATTTGTTAGAACTTTAATAAAACTTCAAACTTTTACCTAGTGATATAATAACCAAAAATATAATTTTTTACTAAAGTTTACGTATAGTATTGAATTTATGTTTTTTTAAAACGATGTTAGGTTATTAAGTAGGTATACATGCAACCGATAGCGTCGGAGATAGTATTTCTTTCCTTCTTTTTTTTTTACGTATTTCATTAGCGTACAGTTTCTACTCGGCCAGGATGTTTAAAAAGCGAAAATATCAAAAATAAATTTAAAGTATTCAGTATTGTTCAGACACATTTTAAAATACTCGAAACGCCTTAAATTTACTATAATATTGAATACTGTAATTCAATCACCTATCGACTAAACTTTCAACAAATTCATTGCAAAAAAGTGGCCATTTCGTCACATTGGAAATAGCTATCGTTTATTGAACCATTAGTTACCCACAGTCTAAAATCATATGTATTGATCATCTAGCAGTAGTATAGCTAGAATCTATATTATGGTTGAAGCACGAATGGATCGGCTTGTTCGGGGAACGACCTCGCAGCAGCATGATGCTCTTGTGTTTCGTGTAGTGAATGTAGAGAACCGGATACCCATTTTACTGGTAACAAGGCATTCTATCGTAGTCCTCTGGGGGGACAACGTATCTACATCTTTTTCATCATTTTGTTTCTTTACCGAGAATAGATTTAGGTGTCTTTGGGCTACAGCATCCACTTACTAACAGTTGGACTGTGTGCTTTTTATCACCCTTATTCTCTAAAAAGTCTAGAAAAAGAAATAAATATTTAGAATGTTTCGTGACTTTGCAAAGCAAAGTCTTTAAAGACTTCATCTTATAAAAAAATCATCTTTTTCTAAACGTTCTAATTCTATCAATTCGTTTTACTATTATAAGATGCTCGTATCGTGGGACAATTTTATTTTAGACCCTTATCACAGTTAATTTAGTTATTTAATGATTAATTATCATCATCATTATCACATCAGCCTGCGGCAGTCCACTGCTAAACATAACATATCTCCCAATTAGCCCGATCTTCGGCTTCACGCATCCAGTTGCTGCCAGTCGCCTTGCGCAGATCATCGCTATTAAATGATTAATAAAAAGAAGTTTACAAACTTGATAATTCATATCAATCTAATCCATTAGGATAAATAGTTCAAGTTCAAGGCACTCACTTCAAATAATTTGGTACGTGAACGATTTGAATTCAATCTCCACCGTCACCACGAGCTCAGCGGAAAAAAATATCATTAGAAAAAATTACTAAGTAATTAAAAAAATCTGTTTAGGACAATGTCCGTCGAGTTACTCATCCAGTTCCAAAACCTTCTCAGAAATGAGAGTCAGTGCGCATCTGTGGGCCGTGTGAAGGATTTATTTGTTTTAGAAGTGTTGATTTACTTTATGCTCTATGGCAGAGCAAAACGTTGTGAGAAACGTGAATGTATAAGTAATTAAAAATATTTCCTAATAAATTTTTGTGAAATTCATTTTCAGACAGAGTCTTAACTACACCGAAATTGTCTCAGAAATGAAAGACTTTTTACTGGTAATTCATTAGGAAGATTTCTGGATTATGAATAAAAGAAGTAAGTTTGTTAGCCGTAGGGTTTAATTTATAAAAATGCAAAAGTGACTTGTCTTAGTCAATATTATAAACAAATAATGTGTAAAATAAAAAATCACTTCCACACAAATAATTTATTCAAATGATTTACATTTGATAATTCATACAAAAATTATTCCAATGACCTTTTGTTTTTATATTTATTAATTGAATATGAATAAACCTGCAAACATGGAACAATTATTTACAGGTCACACAAATGTTCCGTGCGGGATTGCATTTGTACCCCCAGGGAGCAGGGCCGCAACTAACGCATAGCCACTGCAATTCCAAGCCCTTTATTTATTATTTAATTAAATATAATTTTTTTGTATAAGGTTTACTACTGAAAAAAATCTCCTAACTAATTCAAAAAACTTAGTGTTTATTATCCTGTATCAGTCATGGGCTGGTAGTGTGTCCTTGCGAAGTGTCACCAAGTTTCATTAACTTGACGGCTAATGCTTATCAACAGACTCGTGGATCGCGAAGTGAAGCCTCTCTCTCAATAATACGATTTAAAAAAAATGTACTGTGGAATATCTAGCAAGATTTTGCTCCCGGTCTTAATAAGAGCTTATCCCGGACTTAGTAAGAGCTAAAGACTCAACCCTGTCGAGTCTAGATCTGATCCCGATCGACTACAAATTTTGGTTAGTGCTAGAAAACAAAGCTTGCTTACGTTTTATGACATTAAGTTGATCAAGAAATCTTTGGAGCTAGCAGTGGCTTTCTTTCCCATGGAGACATTGCGTAAATCTACAGATTCCTGGACTAGAGAGATTATGAAAATATCTGCGTTGCATTTAGTCCAAAATGTATTTCTCTGTTTTCCCTAATGATGGTAGACCAATTAAATTAAACAAATTTTTACGGGTTCTATCCCGTTTAATTTAACTTTTTAATTCCACCACACCACTGCGATATTCTTTTTTTCTGTAACTAATTATTTTAGAATCTAGAAATCTCTTAAAATTGCCTATTGTTTTTCTATAATTAATTATTTTAGAACCTAGAAATCTCTTAAAATTGCCTATTGTTTTTCTATAATTAATTATTTTATATCCTAGAAATCTCTTAAAATTGCCTATTGTTTTTCTATAATTAATTATTTTAGAACCTAGAAATCTCTTAAAATTGCCTATTGTTTTTCTATAAATAATTATTTTAGAATCTAGAAATCTCTTAAAATTGCCTATTGTTTTTCTATAATTAATTATTTTAGAATCTAGAAATCTCTTAAAATTGCCTATTGTTTTTCTATAATTAATTATTTTAGAATCTAGAAATCTCTTAAAATTGCCTATTGTTTTTCTATAATTAATTATTTTAGAATCTAGAAATCTCATAAAATTGCCTATTGTTTTTCTATAATTAATTATTTTAGAACCTAGAAATCTCTTAAAATTGCCTATTGTTTTTCTATAATTAATTATTTTAGAATCTAGAAATCTCTTAAAATTGCCTATTGTTTTTCTATAATTAATTATTTTAGAACCTAGAAATCTCTTAAAATTGCCTATTGTTTTTCTATAATTAATTATTTTAGAACCTAGAAATCGCTTAAAATTGCCTATTGTTTTTCTATAATTAATTATTTTAGAACCTAGAAATCTCTTAAAATTGCCTATTGTTTTTCTATAATTAATTATTTTAGAATCTAGAAATCTCTTAAAATTGTCTATTGTTTTTCTATAATTAATTATTTTAGAACCTAGAAATCTCTTAAAATTGCCTATTGTTTTTCTATAATTAATTATTTTAGAATCTAGAAATCTCTTAAAATTGCCTATTGTTTTTCTATAATTAATTATTTTAGAATCTAGAAATCTCTTAAAATTGCCTATTGTTTTTCTATAATTAATTATTTTAAATCCTAGAAATCTCTGCTCATTGTATAGCGCTATTATCAGATACAGAGCAATAAATAAAAATGTAAATATAATTTCATACGTGGTAGAGCCACGATGCAGCAATATTATAGTTGTAGCAGGGTCAAACACTCACAAATCTGTGCCTCCTGTGATGAGTGATTTAAGTTGAGTTGTACCCTTTTTGTGATTTTAACATGGGCATTATCAGAAAATAATTACGATTTTTTTGGTCTAACTCACGTTTTTCTATCTGCTATAGTTTCGGAGATAATTTTGTGCAAATTGATATAACTGTCCAGAATTTGGCAAAAAATTCGTGAATATCGATATTTGTCAAGATGTAACCTCCATAAGTAATCACTCAATGCACTATTTTTCGTACTTCATGATTTAAATGTGATTGTATTCAATTTCACATTTTATTTTTCAGTACAATTATCGTGAATATTGATGTGCCTAGAGTCATATCCTTTTGAACCGATTCTTTTCGATATGCCTAGGGTACAAATGGACATATACCTACCGATTCCAATGTGAATTTATGAATTTTTTGTGAAAAGTGATACATCGTGAGATAAATCTTTCTACACAAATCTGTTTTTATGTGTAAACAGATATAAATGTAATTGTATTTAAAAGTCAAACCAATTCTAAAAATATTTATGTAGAACTATTATGTGCTAAATGATACGAGTGTAGGTAGTGTGGGTGCGCGGAGGTGAAGCGCCGCGTGATCGGGGATGCGCGGGACTTGGAGCCGTATTTTGAGTTTTGCTCGTGCTTTCCGCCCGCAGTGTCGCTGCGGCATTGATGGAGTGAGGTCACGTCCGAATGCGCCATGGATCGACGCGTAAGTTGATAGACGTATCATTTTACACGAAATTCCATAATATTGGATTTTTTGTTTTGATATTGAATTAAATCACCTGACACAAAATAACGTAATGTTTTCGTATAGTCATAGTAATTAAGTTGCTTGATCTTTTCTTTTGCAATTTTGTCCCTATTATTTTGTTTTAACTAGGTATTCAAAGTCATTTCCTGTTTTTTTAATTAACCTTTGATTTATTATTTAAAGTCTTTTTAGAGACAAGTGTTGTTTTCGTGCTGTGGTTTTCAAAACTTTAATGTATTTAATGCTAAATAGAATAATGTTCGTTTCAGTTAAAATCTCGAATTGATAAAATAATGGAGTTGGCCTCTGAAGCCGAAATTGAAGAAAAATATTGTAATACTCAGGGATATGGCTACGAATCAAGCGAGGAGCAAGAAACAAGAAAAACAGTTGAAGGGTCGCGTCATCAGGATCCAATAGTTGCAGAAACGGTTATTGACAAAGAAAAAACTAGTGATATCCAGGAAGAAGGCAACATATTAATAGGGACGCAAGAAGTAAGAAAACCAGTTGAAGAGTCGCGGGACCTTCCAATTGCTGCGGAAACGGTTTGTGACAATAATAAGAGGAACACGACACAAGAGAATTCTTCAAAATACCTACTAGATGACTTGAGAATTTCCGATTCATCAGACGATGGTGATTTTGGATCATCTAGCAGTGATGATTATATTTGCGCTACTGATGAATCGTCGTCATCCAGTGATAATGAAAGAACTTCAGCTAAAAAGAAAAGAACGACTACGTCGTCGGTGAGACATACCTCCAATATTACAGTTCCAGAAACACCCCCGTCGCCCATGAGCACATCAGAGAACCCTGTTCCTGGTTGCTCTTTCTGGGAACGCAACGGTATGAATAGTGACGGGAAAAAGAAAAAAACAAGAAAAAGTGTCAAGGAGAGAAGACAGGATAGAGCAAGGAGAAAATTGTTTCGTAATACTGGCTTAGAATATATAACGACATCAGGGAAAACAAAGAAACGTCGGCAACTTCATGAACTTGAAAACTGCCGTCAAAAATGCAAGCAGAGACTACCACAGGACTTGAGGGAGAAACTTTTTGAACAGTACTGGAGTTTAGGTAGTTACGAAAATAGAACTAAATACATTGCGAAATGTATTGAAGTCTGCCAAAAAAAAACTTCGAAGTTTTCTCCAAAGAAAAAACGCAACGTCAGCTTTCGTTACTTTGTACATGGTTTTGATCATACAAAACATCCAATTTGCAAAGGATGTTTTTTGAAGACTTTTGATGAAAGTCACAAATATCTACAAACGGTATGCGAGAAACTACGAGACAATGGCGGTCATCTTCCTCAGCGTAAACGTCGAGTTGGTAAGTCAATTCCTGATTTCAAACTAGAGGAAATAAAAGAACATATTGCTTGTTTCCCTTGCACAGAAAGCCACTACGGCCGCAACAAAACCACTAAAAAGTTTTTGAATTCCGAGCTCAACCTTCAAGTTCTTTATAACTTATACAAACTGAAGACTGATGCTCCAGTAAGCAAAACCATCTTTAAAAAGGTCTTTGAAACCATGAACTTATCCTTTAAAAAGCCATCTGTAGACACTTGTTCAAAATGTGACCGCATCAATATGAAACTCAAGTATGCATCTGTGGATCAGGCTGCAAATCTGATAGAGACGTTCAAGGAGCATCAAGAGGCGTTTAAGGCTGCTTACGAAGAGAAAAAGGCAGATAAACAACTGGCTCAATCGAGCGAAGTTGTAGCTGTCATAACATTTGATTTGCAACAATGTTTACCCACCCCGTACTTGCAAACGAATGTTGCATTTTATAAGCGACAATTGTGGACATTTAATTTGACCATACACGATTTGAAAACAAACAAGGCTTTCTGTTACATGTGGCCGGAGTGTGAGGGTAATAGAGGGGCTAATGACATTGCTTCGTGTTTATATGATTTTATTATAAATCAACTACCAAACTTACACCCAAACGCTAAGAAGCTGATCATGTTCTCGGACTCTTGTTCTGGCCAAAACAAGAATTCGATTGTAACAACAATGTTAATGCTAGTTACTAGACTATCCCCACAATTACAATTTATTGAACATAAATTTCTCGTACCTGGCCATACACACATGGAGGCTGACACCGACCATGCATTGATTGAGCGTAAAAAGAAGATCACGAATATGGATATACACTTGCCAAGAGATTGGTACCAACTAGTGCGTACAGCTTCAAACAAAACAGCCAAGTTTACTGTTATCGAAATGACTCATGAAATGTTTTATGATTTTAACATTTTCGTAAAGCAATCTTTTACTTTTAGGAAAACGAATACAGCCAATGAAAAGTTTTTGTGGTTGAACGTTAGATCTGTTCTTTATAACGAAGAAAACATATCCTGTTTTTCTTACAAAAAAGAGTTCAAAGATGTTGAGTACTTGACCATGGACTGTTCTAAACGGGGGAAAACTTATGATAATATATTTACGATTAATATGGTACCAAAAGCTTACCACTCTAAACTTCCTATTTCAACCGATAAGAAGAAAGATCTATTAAATTTGTTATGTTTTATTCATGAAAGCGCTCATGAGTTTTACAGAAGTCTGAGCTGCAAAAATGATGTCAAAGACAGTCCAGCGGATAATGACGATGATTCAGATGGTGAATAGGTTCCGGTTCATATTATAACTTATAGATCGAAAGACTTTGTTATTTTTTTATTGCTTTGTTAACGTTAGTCTACATACAGGTGGGCATATTATAATAATTTAAAAAGGTTCAATTCTGATTTGAGTATAAGTATTTTTTTAGTTAACATTATAATCATTTAAGACGAGTTATCCATCTCAGAGTGCAATTTATTATCTACCTCTATGGAACACCTGTTAAAATTTGAAGTGTTGAAAAATTTTGTTTGTTTGTTTGTTATTTTCCTAGATTTTTAGATTAAGACATGATTGTGATACTTTGTATTGTACTTAGTAGGTTAATATTGCTTATCGTGATACCTAAAGATAGATCTGTGCCATTTCTTAGATTTTAAGTTTAAAATTACTTGCTAACTTTTTTACAAATGATAAGTTCCTATTGAGAATAGTTAAGCTACATTCATATTGTTAAATCGTGATTATTTGATCTCAATTTACTTTTCTTAAGAATTTTGATAAATTTGTGCCTTAAATTTGAGTGAATTATTTATTTTGAAAAAGTTTAATAAACGTTGATTATTTTTCTACAACTTGTATTTATTTACACAATCCATATCTCTTTTGCTGATGGGTATATCTCGACTTTTATCATTTAACTCATCTTCTAAAATACTAGGATTTTAGTATTCTGATACAATTCAGGTAAATATTGTAAATAGGCGACTGATAAGTAAAAAAATTAAATCTAAACGGTTATATCTTTATCTTTTGTTTGAAGAACACTGTGCTAGGATCATTATTCTGATGAGTTATTATATGTTTTAACTTCGTGTATATCAGTTTACACAACGACAACTTATAGATGCAACGTAATTTAACTGTACAAGTATCATTTATCACATAATTTTAGCACATAATAAAAGGTACAACTCACAGGTTTTCATGATTTACTTTAAAAATTAAATAATGTACTAAAAAACTAAAATATATAGCGAAAGAGAATATTTTACTCTACAAAAGAAGAAACTCAAATTTAACCTAGCCCACTTAGTTCACGAACAAGAATTTTTTAAATCTTGTTTTTGCACTCTTGTAAAATGATGATTTTTCACTTGTATCACCTATCACAGGAGGCACAGAAATAACCAGCGCAAAATAACAGCTTAATACTGATGCGTATGGTATGATGAGTGTAGAGAATCGGAGAATCTTTTGACTGGAAACAAGGCATTCCGTCTGGGTGACAAGGTGTCTGATTTTTTTCTTAATCGAGTATAGATGATCCTTATTATAAGGATGACAAACAAGCACACAGTTCATCTGATGAGAAGTGGATGCTGTAGTCCATAGTCATCTGCATAGTTGCCACGCTTGGCATGTAGTTTAGCAAATTGTTTTTTTTTAGAGTTGTTATCTAGAGGATGCTGTTGTTCATCTCCTGTTTCTTTTCTCTCGGTCCCCTCTTACGACGCCCATTGCATAGGGTGGTAGATTTTCTCACGCCGTTACTATATTGTATTTCAAAAACAAAGATTGGTCCAGTTATTGTGCAGTAAGGGAATACGAGATGATGATTTCGTCAATTTTTCATAGGTGTAATACATAGAATTATTACACATAGAATACTAGTACGCGCACGGAAAGTGAAGCAAGTTAAACTAACGCGAAACCGCGTAAGTTCACTCAGTGACGCGTCAGTGCGCAACGTTATGTCTTACGGAGGAGAGCTCGCGAAAAATTGTAAAAATGACCATTTTTGTTGTAAAATATTGTCACAACAGTGATGATAAACATAAAAGAAGTGATGGTACTGCATTTCACATACAAGTTTATATATTTAATTCATTATAAGTACGTAAAACTAAAAAAATACTTACCTAAGCTATCATAATACAAATGTTGCTAGTTGTGGGGAAAAAAATTACAATATTCTTTTAAAAATATTTATTTTATATTTGTGTTAAAAAGGTTTAATCGCAACGCTCTGTGTAAAATTCAAATGTTTATATATAGATACCTACTTCTCTAAGTATTAACATAATATTAATAATGGGTGCCTATTTAAAACTAATACGGAGTGATCAGCTAATCGCGATTCGCCGTTGCCATTTTAACGCAACTATTTTATTTTAATTGCTTTGTTTATTGACTAAGTCTACGTTTCAGAGTATAGAATAAAAACTTTTCTATTTACAACATCAAGATGTTATTAATAAGAACGCCTTTACTAACCAGATGTCACTTTACACCCAAACATTAACCAGATGTTATTTTAGATCCAAACATAGTCTATTTTAACCGACTCCCAAATAGGAGAGGTTATCAATATGTATGTACACTGATTTCTAAGACAATTCTAGATTTACTAATTTATGTCGTATCACTACGCTTGAGAGTTCATGTTCTGAACATTTATTAGTGGCTCTTCACTGTGTAGCAGCGCGCAGTAGCGCGTGCGATAGACGTAACACTAAGTTACATCCAGCGAATTTTTATTCAGACTTTGTTATAGTAATACGGTATAAGCTAGCTTGCATGCCCGACTTACTTGCGAGATATTGCTATTACTTTGAGATCGCATTCGAGTTTTGTTTTTCACGATTGTAAATCTGCCATTTTTGCATCCTAATAATTTTTATTTTAATAAAATAAGTACTACCAAGACAAAATAATTTGACTTCGGGAAAACAACCATTAAAATTTCAGCGTGTATATTGGATCAATCTGTGTGTATATCCTTTCAAATAAAAAAATCTAAATCGGTTTAGAAATTGTAGAATTCTGAGGTAAAAACATTTTAAAAAATTACACCGAATTCAAAACTTCCTCCTTTTTTGAAGTCGGTTAAAATTAAATATTACACGATGTGCTTATTGTATTCGAGCAAATTAATGGTGTTTAATATTCTTAAATTTTATTACGTCTGTATTTTTGTACCATTAAAATATGTATAATTAAGTTATATTAGTACCATCATTATCGTGTTTATTTTATTCCATTTTATATTCTCATAAAATATATCTTCGTATGTAATACGTAATCTTTATTATATCGATTATTTAAAATTAATCAAAAAAATAGTAATTTGCAGAATTTGATTGCAAACGCCAGAAACTGGTATCACTGAAAGGCGTGTATTTGACTCCCGCCCACTAACATAATGACCTTGCATCATTTTAACGCTCGTGTTTTGTACTAGACTGCGTTTCTACTGGGTAATAATTCTATGGTGTAATCAGTCCGAGCTGCAGTTGTCTCTCACGCGCTTACGTTTGAAGCACAACGCTTTAACAAGAGATCTGTTAAACACCTATTCTTTTTAATTAATCAATTAGTATTCTATAAATATGTGCACATAAGTTTTATTATTAATATAATATTTCTTTAAAAAAGATTTAAAGATAAAAGAGAATACAATAATATAATAACAACGGTAATGGCGTCAATAGCGCAATTGTTAAGCGTTTATCTGTAATGTTACTAAGTAGTACGGGCTTGAATCCCGCACGAAACATGAAATGTACGTATTGTTCATCAATCAATTAATCAGTCATCACATTCTTCATAAACTTAACTGTACACCAATAGCAACATATTTATATAGAATACAAGCAATATATCGCATAAGCATATTATTATAATCGCGTAGTGAAGGTGTAAGAACTTCCACTACCTCATATCATTGCTTATTGTATTGTAACTTATGGTATATATTGTAAGAGGCGACAGAGAGAAACTGAAACAGAAGATGTGAAGTAGCGTCTTCTTAATAACGACTCAAAATAATTAAAAATACTGCGGTTGCCAACCAGCCAGCGAAGTGAGGCAACTATGGCGAAATCTCCCCTATGAGGCAATTTATGGGCGAGTCAAATTCAGCAGTGGACTTTTATAGGCTGTATATGATTCGATTGGATTATTATATAAAATATAGACAATAGACGGTCTTTTCTCTTTAAAAGCGTTTCTTTCCAGACCACAATTAATTAAATAACTAATACAACTTACGAATGAAGGAATGTATAATTAGAAGCTGGTAACTTCTTAGGTGATATTTTTGTGCCACAACTCTACGGGTAAACATTAATTCTATCCGATAAGCGTTATAGCCCACTCAACGAAGACCAAAAACTGCCAAATAGGGGAAATAATTCGTGTAAAAGCGATTTTTGGCATAGTTGTAGGGGGGGGTGTAAAGGTCCCTTTTTTAAGTTTTTCTTAAATAACTCGTAAACGGTGGCTCATAGCAAAAAAATTTCTTCTACTCAAGTAATCTAAATAAAATTTTATACAAAAAAGATTCTATACACTTTTTCGCTGGGATCAATATTTAACGAGATATTAAAGAAGAAAAGTTAATTATGATCAATTCTCGCGATTTAACGTCGTAGTAAAGTGCGCGCCACAGACTGTGCGCGCCGCCAGTGAAGTGGTTGTGTGTACGCCGAGTTTCGCGCCAAAATCGGTCAGAGGTTAAATCGCGTCGCGAGTTGTGATTTTTTTTCTACGTGGCACTACAAAATGTCGGAGAAGTGTTTAATTTGTGATAATGTAGTCGAAATGGACTTGTGTAAAGTCGGAAGTAAAGGGATAAGTGGGATAATAAAGGCAAGCGCGTTAAGAAAAGATGGGAAAGAAACATGTTTAAGGAATAAGATGAGTGGTGTTGTTCACAATACTTGCAGAAGACAATACGTTAGAAGTGACTCAATAAAAAGGTTTTTGAGAGAACAAGCTATTTCAGAGCAACCATCAACATCACGTGGTGTCTCTTCTTTGCGTTCAGGACAAAGTCAGTTTGATTTTAAAACAAAGTGTTTTTTTTACACAGAAGAGCATGACGAGGAGGCGGAGAGAAAAAAACCTTATTCTAAGCGTCGAACCATTATCAACGTTCGTACGACTACGTTTCACAATTCCGTGCTTCTTCGTGGGCAGGAAAGAAACGATGAGTGGGGTAACGACGTAGTAAGACGTATCTGCACTGTTGGGGATCTACATGCAGTAGATGCTATATATCACGTGGATTGTTACAAAAAATTCACCCTTGCCACTCTACCTTCAAAAAGAAAAGCTGGGCGCCCCATTGATGAAGGGATTTCAGAAGCAATGAACGAAATCTACGATTACATTGAAAAAAATGATAACTGTCAATTTTCTATGGACGATTTGTTGGGACAGATTACGGGAGAACCACCAACTGTGAAAACCATCAAAGCCAGAATGAAGGAAAAATATGGGGACCAAATTGTTTTCAGTGCGACAACTTCAACAGCTTGAATTTGCCAAGTCAATTCTCCTTCTCCACAGCTTCTCTGGATGCGACACCACCTCCGCAATCCATGGAAAGAGCAAAGTGGGAATTGCTAAGCTGTTCACGGCTAAACCAGATCTGACCCAAAACATCTCAGACATTTTCAGTGGGCTTTCAACATCACCTGAAAGTATTGAACAGGCTGGCGAGAAACTGTTTCTGGCAATTTACCAAGCGCCTGTCCAGGAACAAAATCTCAATAAATACCGATACTCAGCTTTTTTGAGAGCATCGATGAAGCCGAAATCAGATCTGGCCACTCTTCCTCCTACCAGAGCAGCTTCGAAGCAGCACTCATTGAGAGTGTACTTACAGGTAACATTAATCACAAAAGTTGTCAAATACTGTAATATAAATATATATTTGAGCTAAATACTTACGTTGATCTTATTACTTCTTTTACAGATACAACAATGGCTCGGCAACCCCCTACCACCCACTCAATGGGGCTGGGCCAGAGGGGACGATGGCATCCTAAAGCCAGTGACAACCAATGATCCAGTGGCACCTGAGTCCATTCTCAACACCATATTTTGCCGGTGCACGACTGGGTGTGGGGTGCGATGCGGCTGCCGGAAAGCAGGAATTGCCTGCTCCAGGGTCTGCGGCGTATGCTCCGGCTCATGCACTAACGGAGCCCCCATCGAAAACACCGTCGACGATGATGTTGATGATGATATTTTATATTTAGAAGATAATTAGATTTTTTTTAAATATATTATGTCTTGCCTAATTAAATAAATGTAAGTTTATTTTATTATTATCCATCTTCTTTCCTTTATATCTCATTAAATTTTGATCCCAGCGAAAAAGTGTATAGAATCTTTTTTGTATAAAATTTTATTTAGATTACTTGAGTAGAAGAAATTTTTTTGCTATGAGCCACCGTTTACGAGTTATTTAAGAAAAACTTAAAAAAGGGACCTTTACACCCCCCCCCCTACCCGTTACCTTCACCCCCATTCATCAGTACTTTGAGTATGTTGTTTAAGACACCATTCCCTACAACTATGCCAAAAATCGCTTTTACACGAATTATTTCCCCTATTTTCCTTCATTGAGTGGGCTATTATATCTAATGCTAATGTGATAAGATTGAAGGTAGATAGAAACAGGATATATATATTATAAACAGTGGTAGAGCCACGCGGCAGCGTTTGCTGTTGTACGGATGGGCCGGCTCGAACCGGGGTGGTACCACGACCTCACAGAAAACCAGCGTGAAATAGAGGTTTACCTCTGCGTTTCGCTTGGTGAGTGCAGGTGGCCGGAGGCCCTTTTTACTGAAAATGAGGCATTCCATCTTAGTCCTCACGGGTGACAACGCATCTACATTTTGATTTGTAATAGAGGATAGATGTAGATGTCTATGGGCCGCAGCAACCACTTACCATCAGGTGGACTGTGTGCTCGTTTGTCACCCTTATCATAAAATAAAAAAGGATGAAAACTAACCCGTCCTAGACGAATCGACTTCACGCCACGGAATAAATAATAGTACCAACCAAAGAGAATATAATCACTACGTTTAACGTAAAGAAGTTGCACTCTTTTGATGTTTACTGCTTGCCGACGTTTTAATAGCCTACATAATAAAATATAATAAAACATTAATCAGATAAATCGCGCACGCAAGCTAAATTAAACTTTATCGCAGCGCGCGAGGGTCCGTATTACTTTGCATCTTTTATCCTTACTACGTCACAACGGACTTTCCGTGGTTGCTAAGGACTGTTAATAAAGAGTAAAAAAAATACATTGTGAAATGATAAGTTACTTAGGTAAAGTACCTATGCTGACTATAATCGACCATATTACCTACTATGTGAGTTCTGTGATGCCCAACGCATGCAACTTGCAAGGTTGCAAGGCCATTCGTCGGAAAAATAAACCCGAAAAACGATTCGAGAAACGAGTGAAATATGATCGTAATCTACTTAGTTAAAAATCTTGTAAACAAAGTTTTAATTTCAGTATTTTGTGCTATTATAACTTAAAATATTTTACAAAATTTTTTTTTTTACTTCGCAAATATCCGCGTTATAAAATAAAATGATGTGTCTTACCTAGTATGAAGAAGCACCTCCCGCCCTCCCTCAATTGCGTGCACTATCCCCGTCACCACTAATCCCAGCACCGCTACTTCCAACACCACTACACTAGGCAAGACACACCACTGACGATAATACGACACGTGTTTCGCCTCTACACGAGGCATCCTCAGGTGATATAGACTCTACGGTGGCTAACCGCTAGTATGCTTCTTCATACTAGGTAAGACACATCATTTTATTTTATAACGCGGATATTTGCGAAGTAAAAATTTTTGTAAAAGCTTTTATATAATGGATTTCCGGAAAGTAACGCCTGATTCTATTAATTATAATAAAATATTTTAATTACAAAGAGTATAGGTATGTAAGTAGGTACTTGGGTAGTGAAGTAAATTTTAACTAAGTTTTGTAATAAAGTACTTAGGTATTACTTCTGTAGTTAAATTATTATTTAATAATTCGCTATAAGTACCTATATAACAAAAAACATGAAATAAATTTACCTTTCATTATCCTTCGGTAACTCAAAAAATGATATATCTGAATCGACGATGTTTTACCATTGAAGGAACGACGTTTTACCATTATAATTTATCAAATAGATAGATAATATACATATATATTATTCTTAAATTACATTAAAAATTTTTCGACTATTTTATCCTACAATTAAATATACTAAACACTAAACGAAAACTATTTCTACGAGTATTTCAACAAGTATTTACAAAAAAATATTTACGTAAACAGCGTTAAAAAAAACTTTAACATTCAATCGTATAGAGCGCGATAGCCCCGACTGCGATCTACCCCTGGGGCAGCTCGCGATTGTAGGAAATTATTTCACGCAGGTAGCAAGAGTGACAGAAGCCTGCTCACGCCTTTGATTGATCATGTGTGATTATTTATGTGTGTGTACTTTGATCAGTTACTTTTTGCATTAGACCATGCTATCATCAAATATACAGATTCTTCTAGTACAGTCACGTAAAAAACTGTCAGTTTTCAAAGAAACAAAATTTTGTTAATTAGGTTACCAACTTTGCTTATAACGGAAAATAACTTAATTAAGCAAGATACGAAGTAATAAAAGCCTGGCGAGTAAATTAAGTTACAAATTATATTTCGAGATCTAGGCGCACATCTTGTTGATAACGCAAATTTTAAGAATATTTTAAAAAGAAAAATATTATTTTGTATTTCTACTTTCATTTTGTTCAGTTTCAATATCTCAATTTACATAATACTTGGTGACAGATCATTACATTTTTAACATTATTTCTTATTTCTAATGCATAAAAATATTACATATTTGTAATCTTATTATAATTAGCTGTAGCCCATTATACCATGTGATTATTTCTATGAAACTGTAATACCGCTACCGTTATAGACTATTAAAATACACTGCTAAACATAGGCCTCCTACAAGATTTTCTCATCATCATCATCATTACAGTCCTTCACAAGTCCACTGCTGAACATAGAAGACGCCGCTTTCCATCTTAAGGTTTGTTTCCCTATGTCGTTTCTTACGACACCTGCAGGACGATATGGGGTAGTGGATATTCTTACACGGAAAATATAGTAATATTTTCAATTCGTCTCTATCGACATTTGTCTCCAGTCATCTACAGGCCTGGTTTTGAAGGTCGAAATTTTCATAACGTAAATCAGGAGTTCCCAAACTTTTAAAGTAATGGAACACTCACCCAATCCCTCTTATTTTATGGAACCCCACATCAAATTATTACATACTCGTATCATATACAGTGCAATTGAAATATTGCAATGTAATTCTCGCTAACTACCTACTTATATCTTTATAAAAGTAATGGGTTCTTCTCATCACATATTTTGCACCAATTCAAAATAACATTTGTACCAAAGTGTGCAATTATTTAACAAACATAAATAACTAATTTCACGGAACACACTTTAGCAAACTGATGTAAATGTTTAAATAATAAACGCACCATATGTCGATTATATTTACTAAATATGTTATGTTTTAAAAGTAATACCTATAGCGTATAAGTTGATATTAATTTGTATTTAGAATTTCTAAAGGAGGTTAATGACGCAAAAACTTCGCTTGGAGTTATCTCTGTTATCGCACGATGACTTTTTTGCGCTACAGACATGGACTATTTCTATTCTATGCGGCACATTTTCTTTTTTATGGTGAAGAAACGAGTATATAATAGATTCGATGGTGATACTGTGGCCCATAGACATCTATTTTGATTGAGAATTAAAATGCAGATGCGTTGTTACCCCTGAGAAATAAGATGGAAAGCGTCGTTATTACGAGTAACAAACAGTATTTCCAGTTCTAGCTACTCGCCATACGAAACACAACACATTATGCTGGTATTCTGCTGGTCGCTCGCTGGTATTCTGTGCGAATGTGGTTAACAGTTCACAGTGAACCGATCTTTTTTTATAGTATAGGGTGACAAACGAGCACACAGTCCACCTGAGGGTAAGTGGTTGCTGTGACACATAGACATCGACCTCTACTCTTAATAAATAATCAAAATATAAATGCGTTGTTACCCGTGAGGAATAAGATAGAATGCCTCCTTTCCAGTAAAAAGGGTCTCCGGTTCTCTATACTCACCATACGAAACACAGCAGTGCTCAGCTGCTATTTTACGCTGGTATATTGTGAGAGCCCTTCCCCGTTCGAGCCGACCCATTCGTGCTACAACTATACTACTAATATAGCTGCAGCTTGGCTCTACCACGTAATAAAGTTCCAATAATTATCTTCATCATCATCATTACAGACCTTCAAAAGTCCACTGCTGAACATATACCTACCCGAAGTAATGACACAAAGTACGGTACTGAGTCACCTGGATCTATTAACATCCTGCATGTCTTATCAGGTCGTCACTCCATCTAGTGGAGGGCTGGCCTAAACTTCGCCTACCGATACGAGGAAGCCACGCGAGAACATTTCTTCCACGTCGGTTGTCGGTTCTTCGAGCTATATGGCCGGCCCACTACTACTTCAGCCTACTACTTACTATAATTAATTGTAGTAAGTCATCCTAAATCCTAATCCGTTGGATTATGTTGGTAACCCCGAGCATAGTCCTCTGCATAGCTCGCTGAGCGAACTTGAATAATTGTCTTATCTTGTATTTTTATAGAAGAGGGGGCAAACGAGCATGCGGATCACCTGATGGTAAGTGACTATCGCCGCCCATGAACAACTGCAACGCCAGGGAAATTGCAGATGCGTTCCCGGCCTTTTAAAAAGGAGTAGACTCTTTTCTTGAAGGTAATCGATTCCACAAGGAGGTTGTGCGAGGAAGAAAACTTCTTTTAAATCATACAGTGGTGGATCGCCAATCATATAGATGGTATGGATGGTATCGCGAGTTATGTCGCGATGTGCGATGGTGAAACTGAGCGGCAGGAATTAGTTCGAACAATTCTTTGCTTTGCACTCCCCGTGAATGAGGACACTGTAAATATATAAATTATCTTCATTTTCGTCATCAGATCGTAATATGTTCACTACTGGAAATGGTTTCTATTGTTGTACGGATACGGTAGTAGCATAATGAACTAGTTTGGCAGGGCAATTGGCGATAACAGTAACAGTCGTTGCGTGCCATTGATGCTTATCCCAGT